ATGTGTTGCTTTCATTGATGTTCCATACTACATGTGGAACATGGAACATACTTTGCTACAATGATCCCAATAGTCCAATTAGGGAATGATCAGAAAAAGGACAAAAATAATCCAGTTTAAAGTTAATTTTAAATGTCAGTTATTTTAAAGAGTGGGAGGGGGAGAAAAATGTGGAATGTGTTTCTCAAAAACAAATCTTAAAACTTGCTTGTCCATTGCGTTGGTAATTTGTATGTAAAAATTGAAATATTAAAATCACAGTATTGCTAATTAAATCCCAAAATAATCATAGAATACCGACACAAGTCGTAACTCTTTAATAGTTCTGAATAAAACTCAAGTAGAAATCCAGATTAAGTCCAACGTTGAAGTTTTTATGTTTCTGCGATTGCCTGTATAATGATAATATGCCAACTGCTTTTTATTGAAACACAATAATACATTTCCTGCATTGAATTCACTTTTAACCCCAGTGAATGTCTCTGCCCAGAATATTATTTTGCGTGAGCATTTTATATTTCAAGAGAAAATAATCACTAATTTAAATAATTTCAAGAAATATATTCCAGCCTAAATTAGCACTAAAAACAAACAATAATACAAATTGATTTTGCTAGATCTTAAGCACCCATACACATGTAGAATATGTCAGCTATATATCGGTTGTTTAAAGAATACAATAAAATACATCAATAATTCAGGTCAAGTAGAAACTTTACTTTAAGCAAGGTTAAGTCTGAAATGCAATGTTACATCAAAATAACATACAATGAAGTATTTGTTTTAAAAAAATAAAAAGACATCATACAAACAATGCAAATTAACTAAACACAAAACGTGAAAAAAATGTATTTATAATAAAGTTTTTAGAATATAACATGTGTTACAGTGGACATATATTCAACAGTACAGTACAAATTAAGTTACAATCTCTCAAATTTATCGCTAATCGGTGGACAAAATAGTCCCAAATGCAAAATTGTCCCTTTTAGTTTTATGACAAAATTGAAAACAATGTAACAGTTATAGTCTTCTTGCAATCCTTACATATTTCAGAGGAAAATTTGTAAAAAGTTCTTCACTTTATTTATTAAATGTCTTTGCTAGGAAATTTTAAAGATGAAGGTTGGTGTCACTCATAACTGTGTAGATATGGCTACGTTTCTGTTTTGGGGGAACTTAGCAGTGCGAGAGGCAGGGACCACTGTAATGAATAGGGAGAAGTCTGTTTCTTACTGAGACCGATTGATTGTATTTAGATATATAGATATATAATGCTACATTCAACCGATGCATGTTATAAAGCCCTTATTTTTAAAATACATGAAATATATACAGTTATATTTTTACTTCGAACTTACTAACTTCATATAGTGTGTAGTTTCTACATTTTAGAATATAATATAGATAATCGAATATCGAATAAGTCAAAGAACATAATTTCAATTGTTGCGATTAAAGCAACAATCATTTAAAAGAAATGTATAGATTATTAATTTGGAATACGTTACTAAACCATTGTTCTCTATTACTTAAAGAATCTTTTAATTTCCAGATTAAATTTAAACATAAAGTTGGTATCAAATTAGTCTTTTCCATAATACACACCACGAATTCAAGTGAATATAATTGCTTTGAAACAATAAAATATTTATTACATTATAATAGTAAGATCTCACAAAATGTTAGAAGATATCAAGTCTAAATTGAACTTTACCATAAAAATCTCAACATTAGAAAGTTCCTATAGTTTAAAGAGTTTATGAACACAAGCAATTGTTACCCGTAATGAAGAGAGAGAAGTCTGTTTCTGACTCTGTGACAGAGTGATTATACTTAATGCTGGGTGTAGTTACGTAATTTACAGAGCTTGTATGCAATCAAATTGTATAAGTGCGTATTATCAGCCTGTCATCAAATATAAAATTTGTTTTGACGTTAACCTTTAAAATGCAGGAGAATGTACTTGGTCACATTAACGTGATTTACCAACCAAAAAAATGCGCACAACTGCTGCGGCTCAGAAAAATGTAAATCTCACTATTGCTTAGTGCAAAAATTGCTTTTAATATGATTTAATGTAAATTTGCTTTAGAATGCGATTTTAGAATTGATTTTAATCACAATACTTTTTACTAAAACCTGTATCGTGATAATATGTGCTAACTTAACCAGAAATGTATGTTTAAATGCAGTTAATACATATTATCGCTATAGAGAGGAAATGAATAATTTAAACGTGAATAACAGTTTCTATTTTTTATCCATGGCCCACATGCGACTACCAAACTACAAATGATATTCTTGTGATAGATTCTTAATCCGTACCTTTTTACTCCTCAGAACTGTAGAATTGGTTCTTGCATGTGGACCAAGTCAATTTACTAAAAGAAATAGCTTGAATGTTTATTGTATAGGCAGCTGTGGCGTCATGAGCACGTGAATATGATGTCAATATGTAATTATATTTTTAATGATTGATTGGAAGTTTAAGTTATTTGAATATTAATCATTCTCCTGTCATGGTATTTTATAATCAATTACATTTTTTTGACAATTCTTAAAAAAAATTTGCCAAATCTAGGCCTTTTAGGATCGACCCATTTAACCACAAATTCTTGTAAGTTTTAGTTCATATGTCGCAATTTTCTTGTTCACAACATTCAAAATTCTCTCTCTAAATCTCATTAGCCATATGTGCATGTCAGATATATGACGGAAATTAGTAATGTTCAATCTCGCATATGTACTAGCATACTAAGTTATATAAACGGATTTTATATGAGATGCTTGTTTACTAAGGAATGTTTCACTGAGACCTTCATGCACCACTAAATATAAATAACATTTGTTTTATTTTATATTTGACCTTGCCCACTATCAAATTAACTATGTACCTAACTAACGATATTGATTGTTTAATAAGTTATATATGGATAGTATCAAGCAGTCGGTATAACTTTACCCACAGCATGTGCAGTTTTATATTTTTGATATTATACACGTGAACATATCACTTTATGTGATTCTGATTGTTCCAAATAAGGCCAACAATTTATTATACAGTATTCTCATTACTGATTGGCTGCGATGGTGCAAAAGCATTTTTAAGCCCGCCTTCTGGTTTTTTTTGTTTTCACTGAACACTTTTGGCGGCCATTTTTTTATTCGACTCGCGAAAGAGAATTGGGAATATGAATGGTCTCGTCTGTTAATTTACCCCCACGGGGTTTTCTTATGTCATGTAAAACATAACAAACAAAATGGCAAAATCCCTAAGACAAGAGCAAAAACATCAAGTAAAACTTCCAGTCTTGCTAAGATGATAGCGAGGGTGGGGAAGGTAAAGCATGGGATGCATATCTGCAGTATTGGAATCCACCCTATATACAAGCTTGATTTAAATGTGAACTTAATGAAGTAAATAAACTCACCTTTGTTCACAGTAGACTGTAGAAATAAATCGGTCTACCTAACTGACAGAACTTTATCCAGCTACAACATATTTCAGCGGTAAATATGTGACGCAAGTCCGACTCAAAATTAAATTTGTTTACATCTTCTATACAATCTAATATTCCAAAATAAATACTGCAGATATTCGGTCACAAATACATTACAGTAAATATGTGTATTTCTGCATCCGGTTATCATCTTTTCAAAAAATCCCGCAACAATGTAATGTTTTGTTGTGAATTGGAATTTCAACGTCAAAACTGTCACTGTGGTGTGTTGGCCAACTCAAATCGGTACTCTCTACAATATCAAACAATGTGGCATCACACGCAGTCGACATTTTTTGTTGATAAATGTTTTGTCTTTTGTAAAATGTTCTGTTAATATGGATGGACGCTTATTTTTTATTTATATTTATTAAAATGTGTATAATATACTTTTACTATTTCAACTTCTTTGTCACTATTTTTTACGCGCAACAAAAGAAATTATTCGTTTTTCTTTTTATCTAAATAATTTCTACTCAAATAAAACAATGTGATTAAAAGAAACCTTTTGTGACTATTTGTTACGCACAACAAATGAAATTCTTATTCTTCGTTTTTCTTTCTATTTAAATAATTTCTACTGGAATAAAACATTGTGATGAAAAAATCTCAATTGGGTATTTATTTATTATTAAATTAATGAAACTTGTTAAATAATGTCCAGCGTTTGCTCTCCAAGCCTCGCAAAAGCTGGATATTATTCAACTTGTTTCATAAATTAAAAATTAAATAATTACCCCTTTGAGATCCTCAATATATTTCACTGAGTATAGATTAAATATTAGGATCATTATCAATGGAGGTGAGCATGCTTATCTTAATCAGAGTCCAGGATTTTTTAATTCCTCCATGGAACAAAAATGTTGTACCTGATGTTTGTCATGTTCTTTATTATAATTTTAGTAATAGACCTTAGAATGTTCTAGAATTGAACTTTTGAATCTCATCCTACTTCTAGTTTTGTGGTTTACCTTTTCATATAATGTTGTCTACTTGAAAAATTAGTAATTCTTGCTACATAGCAGAATCGGTCTCAATGTTGTGTTCAATATATCATTTTAATACTATTCTTGGACTGTAAGACTAATTTCAAATTAGTGTTAACTTGACAATAACATTTTTGGAATATATCATTGGGATACATCAAATGAATTTTAGCATATCATCAAATTTCAGGACAGATTCAACACTACAAGTATATCAAGAATTTTATTTAGTAATACCACTGGAGTGTGTCTGTGTCTGTGTGTGTCTGTGTGTGTGTGATTTAGATTTTCAACGTAGCTTTAAAATATTTTCAGTCATATTGCTACGATGTCTGCAGTGTGACAGTATATAGTGATGTCTAGCACTGGGGCATCATGACACAGACATGTGGCACGATGTCTTCCTATTCACATCATACTGACAGCAGGCCAACCATCCCTAACACTAAACTTTTAATGCTGAGCGCCAAGCGAGGCAGCTGTTAGTACCATTTTTTAAAAATCTTCGGTATGACTCGGCCGGGTTCGAACCCACGACCCGACCTCTCGCATTCGAGGCGGACGCTCTAACCACTAGGCTACCGGATCTGTTCAACTCGATTTTGGTTGGAATTTTATTCATTTGGTTTGTAATACAAGTTTTAGGACCTTTTGAGACAGTTTGTAATAAAATGTTTTTTTATTTTCAGTTTTCACTTTTGTTATAGGGAAATAAATTGTTTTTTTAATTTTACATGTTTTTGCACTTTTCTATCAAACCACCATTAAGTCGAAATAACACGCAGAAGATGAACATCTTCTTTGCATGGTATCCTTAAAGGTTTCTGAAAGACACAAGCGTTCTGGTGTCAGGAAAGGTGTCTTCTTGTTTTCTAATAGTAATCAGGAAGACTTTTCGCGGAATCATCCGCTAATTGTTATACTTCTTGACAAATATACAAGAAGACTATGCGATATTATCTTTGTACAAAGATTTAATTATCTAAGTATATATCTATCTTGGTTTAAAGTTTATAAACTTAAAAGTAATGACAAATTTTTAAACCATATTTCACAATGCTATAAACAACACGATGCTAAAAAACAACAATGCATTTAAAACAAAAGAATGCTATAAATAACATAATTCTCTGATAATGAGGTTCTGTATGTTATTCCAGTATATGCAGCCTGGTTGTGGAAACTAAAGACTTCTAACATCGACACATATACACTTTAAGACGAATTAATCCTCTCTTGTAATTCGAGTGTTATTCAGCAGAGAACATGGGGCTGTTCGGGAAAACCGGAATCAATGTGCAAGTGTAAAACTGGAGATTGCCATCAATATCCTGTTGACATCTTTCTCCTGACAATAATATGATTGCTACTAATAACCAACATGTTGGTGAAGTCGATTGAGATGCAAGAGATATTGTCAAGTTTGTCAAATATGGTATTTTTGGTTTTGCTGGCGGACCAGCAAACATCCATCAAAAGGAACCTTCAATTTCCCAACTGTCTGAAGCTGAATATAATCTTCCACTCAACCTGCCCCCAATCAAAATATGTTACGAGAATTTTTCTTATGAACTTTATCAGAAATGACGTATTTTATCGATACACTGTCATATTTTGACCTAGGCTCTGTAAGTAGAAATAAATCATTAGTGTATATTCCTGCAGAAGAGCTTGAAAGTGATTAGTGTTAATGTACAGTCCCATTATTATAGTACGATCGATTCTTGGACTTCTAATGCGTGAATGTGGTTACTCTTTTGACAAGTATGTAATTTCTGAGAGAAAAAAAATATTGCTTAACGCGATATATGTTATTGTTTATGCTCAATTATCGTTACAACGTGTAAATTGTGCATAAAACTTCCCATAGATGATTAGACTCAGTCTCCGCGTAAAGCCGTTATAAATAGCATTACGGTCAAGCGATCTCAATATGCAACTTTTCGCGTGCTTTTTTGCGTATTTTAGTTAATTTTTATTATCCCCGTAATAGGTTAACCATTGGGTCGGGGAACCATCCCAAGGTCACCTTACAATCAAATATTTATTGATTCCAGATAAATTTGGGATAGTAAATAAAATGTATATTAAAAGAAAAAGAAAAAAGAAAAAAGAAAACACACTCACATACACACACATGCACACACACATGCACACATGCATATGGAACATAATCTCTTTAGATAGCCTACTCAATGTTACAAGACAAATACATGTAGGTGACACAGGATTTTGAAAATAGTGTTTTGTTCCTGTTTACCATCCAATCAGATACAAATTACCTATTCATCTGTTGAGGTCCATTTTTTAAGAAATTGGTCCTCCTTTTTGCTTACCTTAGCAGCATATTTTTCAAGGTTCTTATACATTACAACTATCTGCTTAAAAGCATATATGGAAGGATTTTTCATATTGAATTTGCAAGTGTAAATGTAATATTTTGCCAAAACAAGCAAGAAATTACACAAACTGTCCAGTTATTCACTTCCTAAAAGTGTTTCTTGTTTGGACAAATGTACAATATTTGGGAAAGAATGTGCAAAGTGTTCAATAAAACTGTTCCAGAACTGTGAAGTAATATTGCAATCATAGAAGAGATGTTCAATACTTTCATTCTCTTTCTTACAAAACGTATATTTGTTGTTGTCCAATATGTTGATTCTTTTCAAAAAAATCATTAGTAGCGATTATTCTGTTGATTAATTTAAAGTTGAAAAAGATCAACTTGGTATCCTTGGTACAAAATTTCACCCTGCTATAAATCTCAGACCACTCCTTACTACTTATATTTGTATTTAATACTTGCATCCAAGATTCTTGCTTAGCAGTATATTGCCTTTTAGCCCTTTTTAAATGATCTTTGTAAACAAATTTGAGTGAATTATGTTTTTGCAGGTCCATTATTTTATCCTCCTGCCTATCAAAATTATTATGTGCTAAATAGTTTTTTTCAGGCTTCTTTCCAGGCTTTTGGAATTTTGGATATTAAGGAGAAGTATTTCAAGAAGTCACCACTTCTAGTTTTTTGTTTTATTATTTCAAAAGGTAATAAAATGCCATGATCGTCTACTAAATCATTCAAAATTTCAAAACCTGTTTCTATCCAGGATTTTTATTGATAGAAGATTCGGGGAGGGGATAAAATTAAAAATACTTTGGATAAGTACTCGTTTGCACTTTGCGGTTCCTCTTTCCAATAAGATACTGCCAAAATAACATCTCTGAACTTTTCGCATGCTTAGTTTTCTGTTTGGACTACTATGTCTATTAAATATACACAAAAACAGTGATAAAGGTGTTCCAACATAAATGAATTTTTAGATACAACATTCGTTTGACTCTAATAGACTGTCCGCTGATACTGTTATCTTGCCGAAAATCTAGGTCAGAGTGCATGTTGTACCAGTCAGTAAGAGATTTTAAATTTAAACAAATTTATTCTATATGAGTCCGTAAGAGATTTGGATTTAAGACAATTAACTTGTTCTATATAAAAAAAAGAAGCGTTTGGGCGTCATAGTATTTTAAAATAATGTTGCAATGTATGCGAACAATAATATTAGCTATTAATTACAAGAAGAGGTGTTTTTAAATAAAACCGTTGTAGGGATTAAACACTTTTCAATGTGTTCGCTATCCTTGTTAACATTCGAAGAGTTTGTACTATCACAAGTAAATCATTAAAAAAGACGCATCCGGTTCACAAATACATTCATTTCTTCTACAATCCACATTATCCATCCTTCCGTCGCCATTATTTCATGCATAGATCAATGTATTCATCCATCTGTCCATCTTCGTACGTTATACATAGTTATACGCACATCTAATACCACCACTCCATCATTTGGTTTTGTACTAATGAACAGATGGGACCTTTATTCTTCGAAAAACATAAGTAACATAAAAAGAATTTGTGTTCCATTCCAATATTCAAGCACAGCATACCTGAAGTACAGATTGAAATTGTTCTTGAGACCAAACTCTGGCACTTTTCTATGCGATATTTACAATAATTTCTTGTTGAATTCTTGAAACCTTTGCAAGAAGAAGCTATATAAACGATAACAATTTAATTTCATATGCATCAATTTGAACGTTCCATAGCCGGAAGAACAGTATGTGAAAAACGTTATAGATGCAAAGAAGTACTGTAAGTATCCGTGCAAATATTGATCTGCTTTTGAAAACAAAATAACTTTAACAGGGAAAGTAAGAACTTTAGGGATATGGTTGTCGGTACTAGAGGGATAGGTCTCTAAGAGATTTGTCATGAAAAGAAAAGATGAGCCTACAGAATGAAATTGTTTCTAATCACAAAACATAAATAGATAACGAGATAAATGAATTTCCAAATTAAAACAAAGTATCAAATCCTCTAATATGCATATTAGATGGAAAAATTAGGAACGGATCGCTGTTTTAAGAGTATGTTTTTGAGTTAAAGAGGCAACTAAGAAGACGATATAATTCTATATTTAGGAGAAAACCATTACACTAGTGGAGAGTTCTACAAAAGCAGAGTAGATAGTGAACATGGACTATGATGTTGGTGGTGATGGTGATTTTCTATTACCAACCGAGATGTTATGAAAATTGGCAGCATCGTTATGATGCCAGTACAATTTATAAAAGTCCAAAGACTCGTGTAAACTTAAACTATACAAATAGTATTGATGTAGACAACACCAGTATTGACAATTATTAGCAGACAGCCTGTGGTAGTATTACATAAATTACAGAGGACTAAAAAGAAAAACTAGGTGAGTTGAAATTCTGTAGAGTAGATAGATTCATGTAATGCTCATGATGTTTAATCTGCTATTGTGATGGCTCATTCTCTTGTAGAAAAGACACAAAAATAAAGCGTGGTCAGTTTAGTCTCCAAATGACAAAGAACACAATCCAGTCATTCATATTAATAATTAACTCTTAGATAGAATTGCAATATTTTACGTTTTAAAATAGTTTACGATGTAAACTTTCACCATCATCTCAGGACAAAAGACGACCCAATCACATATCGGTGCATGTTGAGAGCAAGATTCGTGTCATGTGATTATAACAAAAATCAAAACTTCACCTCAGGTAACGAACTTTTCTAATTTCTAATCTTGATTTTGTTTGGGTACACCTTTGATCAGTTAAGCAAGCAACAGGCCAACAGATAACAAATCGGGACAATACCAGGTTTAGTTAGGATAGATAACGCGACAAGCTGCTTTCAAAAAAACATCTAACACAGCTAATAATTCCAGGAAGTATTTATGTGCCATTCCTAGCTAGCTAAGACAAATATATTTTCAGATCTTTTAACCCTTTTTAATTTTAACATAGAACAAATTATCTTTTCCACCAAATGCAACATTAATGATAGGCGTTTCTCCAGGAGTTATTAAATCTTTAGGGCATTAATTCAGTTAGATTCATTATGTATGTTTTATCTTTTTACATTTTTAATGAAAGCCAGTGCATTACTTCTAAGTTTTCACATGTACCAAAAGTATATTATGAATTCTAGGCACTACCTTGGACATAAAATAACCACGGCAAGCATGAACTAATGATTTTGGTGGTAGACATAATTT